GGGAGGAGGTAACAACAGGCATGTATGGGGTTGGAGAGTGCTGCCCTGAGGAGATACGGGTGTTTTCCATGCCTTCAGGTCAAAGGGAATGAGGTTGCTCTGGGGGTGATCTGATCCCAAACCGCTGTGCCTTTACTTCCTTGGGTCTGTGGGCATCCTCCACCATTTGGGGACACGTCTGCAGCTCAGATCCCAGGCAGAGGGGATGGGGGGGCTCTACCCAACCGCACATCCACCTCCAGCACCATGGAAGGAAGAAGTTCTCCCTTCAGACAGCAACAAGGATGGATCGGGTGCTTTGTGCCACGCTTTGCACCACCCCATTTTAACCCCATTTAACCTAATTGATGCCCGTGCTGAGCGGATGTCCCAGCAAACCCCACGTACCCGGCTGCTGTCTTCAGTGCCACCACGGTGTCCCCTTGGGGACCACGCACAGCTCCTCACCCATGGGACCACGCTGAGCAGCAAGAAAGCGAGCTGCCAAAATCTGCTGTCCCTTCCCTACCTCCCCCTGGGGGGGGGAAAAAGACGATTAACTCGAGAACCAGTCTGATATTTCGGCTTAGTGGGAAAATCCTCGTGGTTTCCCAAGCTGGCCACATTAGGAGCTCAGTGGCTCACGGCGTTATCAGATTACAAACAATATCAGAATTACAGCTTTTAAAGCCGGGTTTTACAGAGGCTTAGAAATTATACAGCCACCCCATAGGGGGAAGAGGGGCGATTTGGGGGGTGGGACCCTCCGGGAGCACCCAAAGGAGCACCCAAAGGAGCACCCAAAGGAGCACCCAAAGGATCTCCCTGCTGCATCTCCAGGGGTGGCTGTCACATAGGATCGTGTCTGTTCGGCTGTGTGCGTGCATGCATGTGCACAGGTGTGTGCATACATGAGCACATGCGTGTGCATGCACATGCATAGCTGCGTACACGCATGTGCATCTCTGCCACGACCCAGGGCCACAGGTAAGGAAGGTTTGCGGGTCTGCGCACGCGTGCATCTACATGTGTGCAACACACAGCAGTGCAGGAGGCTGTGAGTGTGCACACACGCATGCACACGCGTGCCCACCCCCCTTCCTGCGTGCAGATCCGTGTCTCGCTGTGTGACAAAACGTGTGCTTAATTTCTGCACCCGCACCAGGAAGGTCATCCTCACCTCTGCAACCACCCCATGTCTGCGCTGCCCCATCCCTGCTGTGCGCCCTATGCCCACCCATGTCCCCTCTGAGTTGGGGGCGCAGGAGATCCCCCATCACGCGTCCCTTTGCAGAGAGGTTGCAGCTGCTGGCCCCCCCCGAGAGCCCCTCACCGTGCGCAGCTTGCAGGGATGTGACACTCAGTGGCTCCCATTGGGCTCAGCGCAGCAGCCGGCGTGGGGCTGGGGGGGACAGGGAGGCCCAGAGCTGCAAGGGGACACGTGGCACGGCCCCGCATTGGGGGATGGAAGGAGGAGATGCCCCCACGGCGGCCAGGAGCTGCTGCGGGTTTTGGGGACAGCTGTGGGGCACAGGGATGCGGGAGCAACGCGCTGAGCATCAGTGCAATGCACACCGTGAGTGTGGATTTGGGGGGGGGCTGGGACACTGGTGTGTGCTCACGAGTGCAGATCTGTATGGGAGAGTGCAAGAGGACCCGTGCAAAGCACTGCCTGCACGTGGCAGTGCAGGTGGGGTGTGCATGGGCAGGTCCGTGTGCCACCCTACATGCGTGTGGATGTGCACACGAGTGTGAGCTGAGCGCCCTGTGAGCACCCCAGTGCAGGTGACAAGGGACGGAGCCATGGGGCAGAGCTGGGAGTCAGGTGCCACCACCCTCACCCCTCCATCACCATCCGTCCTGTGCCCATCCTCACCCCAGCAGCACCCAGAACCCCTCACCCCATTGTTATCCCCCCCCTCCGGGGACCCTCCTGGGCCCATCCTCACCCCAGCAGCACCCAGAACCCCTCACCCCATTGTTATCCCCACCCTGGGGACCCTCCTGGGCCCATCCTCACCCCAGCAGCACCCAGAACCCCTCACCCCATTGTTATCCCCCCCCCCGGGGACCCTCCTGGGCCCATTCTCACCCCAGCAGCACCCAGAACCCCTCACCCCATTGTTATCCCCACCCTGGGGACCCTCCTGGGCCCATCCTCACCCCAGCAGCACCCAGAACCCCTCACCCCATTGTTATCCCCCCCCCCTGGGACCCTCCTGGGCCCATCCTCACCCCAGCAGCACCCAGAACCCCTCACCCCATTGTTATCCCCCCCCCCGGGGACCCTCCTGGGCCCATTCTCACCCCAGCAGCACCCAGAACCCCTCACCCCATTGTTAACCCACCCCCTGGGGACCCTCTTGGGGCCCATCCTCACCCCAGCAGCACCCAGAACCCCTCACCCCATTGTTATCCCCCCACCCTGGGGACCCTCCTGGGCCCATCCTCACCCCAGCAGCACCCAGAACCCCTCACCCCATTGATATCCCCACCCTGGGGACCCTCCTGGGCCCATCCTCACCCCAGCAGCACCCAGAACCCCTCACCCCATTGTTATCCCCCCACCCTGGGGACCCTCCTGGGCCCATCCTCACCCCAGCAGCACCCAGAACCCCTCACCCCATTGTTATCCCCCCCCCGGGGACCCTCCTGGGCCCATTCTCACCCCAGCAGCACCCAGAACCCCTCACTCCATTGTTAACCCACCCCCTTGGGACCCTCTTGGGGCCCATCCTCACCCCACCCCCCACTCAAGGAGCTCCCACCCCCTCCACAACCCCAACGCTTCACCTTTGGGATCACACCTCCCACCGGTCCGTCCCCCCCCCCCATCACCACGCTGACAAGGAAAGCGACAGCCCCCAGGGCGATGCTGCTTCAAACAAGACCACGACTTTATTATTTGAGCTAAAAACCCAGTTCTGCTTTCTTTACAAAAGGATAAACATTTTCTCTCCGTACAAAAGGGATCTGGAGGGGGGGGAAGGGGGGGGGGTTGGTGGACAGGGACCTCCAAATTCCCACCTCGATACAGAACACCTCTGTATGACGGCGAGGTTTGGCCAGCCGGGCTCACCAGGCCGATGGGATTTCAAAAATAGAGGCCTGGATTTTCGTGAAGAACACAAAGTATTGCATAGCCTTCAAAGTTATTGCTCACAGAAATAATCAGGGATGAGCCGGGAGCTGCTGGGCACCTTCCGAAGGGCAAGGAGTATCAGCATTAAATGCAGAGCTCACCGCGGTGATGGGTAACCCTGGGGTTGAGGGCTGGGATTGCTCAACGGACAACGGATCATCGGGGCAGGAGGGGGGGGGGGGGGGAATAAATTAAATAAATAATGGCTAATAAATAATCCCAGAGTTGCAGAAAGCACGATGCCAACCCCCAGCAACGCGCCGGGATGGAAAGGAAGAGGGAAGGGGGGGTGAGGAAATAAATCACCTGCACCCAGAGTAAATAATAAATAAAAGGGGGGAAGAAGAAGATGCACTTCTTTGGGCTGGATGTCTTCAGGTACAGCCAGGGTCGGGGCTCGGCGCAGATATGGGCACCCATAAAGGTGTCACATCACAACCGAGGCACCACGAGCGAGCAGGGGGGCTCAGGAGGAGGATGGAGTCCTAAAATGACGCTCAGGAGGATGGAGTCCTAAAATGATGCTCAGGAGGATGGAGTCCTAAAATGATGCTCAGGAGGATGGAGTCCTAAAGTGATGCTCAGGAGGAGCATGGAGTCCTAAAATGATGCTCAGGAGGAGGATGGAGTCCTAAAGTGATGCTCAGGAAGAGGATGGAGTCCTAAAGTGATGCTCAGGAGGAGATGGAGTCCTAAAATGATGCTCAGGAAGAGGATGGAGTCCTAAAGTGATGCTCAGGAGGAGATGGAGTCCTAAAATGATGCTCAGGAGGAGGATGGAGTCCTAAAATGACGCTCAGGAGGAGCATGGAGTCCTAAAGTGATGCTCAGGAGGAGCATGGAGTCCTAAAATGATGCTCAGGAGGAGGATGGAGTCCTAAAGTGACGCTCAGGAGGAGCATGGAGTCCTAAAATGATGCTCAGGAGGATCATGGAGTCCTAAAATGATGCTCAGGAAGAGGATGGAGTCCTAAAGTGATGCTCAGGAGGAGGATGGAGTCCTAAAATGATGCTCTGCAGTTTCCCACCTGGCCCCACGACGCCATCACTCTGGTTGCATCTCTTATAGAAGGAGCCCCACGCTGTGGCTGATCTCTCTGCCCCGAGAGTCTGCGTCTACCTCTGTTGCTCCCTGAGGTTGGGATGGAGCTGAGGGTGGTGAGAGCCTGGCCGGATCACGATGGTGGGGTTCTCCATTGGGTGGGGAGCATCGTGGAGGGAAAAATCCCATTGGATTCTGCAGGCAGTCCTGAGAGCCCATTGGGGAACCTCAGCACCAGTGGGGTGTGGGGAAGGGGCACGGGCTGGAGCCCACCTGGTGCAGGGCACATCGCACACAGCATCCCACTGCCCCAGGGATGGAGCTGGGGCCATGGGGTGAACCAGAGCTGTGGAGCAGGATTCCCATGGAGCAGAGTTGGGAAGCGCTGTGGGGGGAAAAAAAAGCTCCTCCACGAGCATCACTGGGAGACGGGGAGTGGGGATACGACCCCCAGGCTCCTCCATCCCAAAACGGGTTCAGCTTCTGGGGGAGAAAACCCACAGATACAATCACTCCTCAGAGCCGGTGCTGCTTCTGAACCCACGTCCCCCCACGGAGAGGTGTGATGTTCAGTGGAGGCGAGGGGCTCCGCAGCGCCTCTCAGGGAGGGTTTGCACGGCTCCTGGGGATGGCTGTGAACAGCAGCACGGTGACACGAGCAGGGGGGGGGGACGGGAGGGCCATGGGGCACGTCCCATGGGGCTGATTGCTCAGGAGTCCACCACGCTGCCCCACAGCGGCGATTTCCTCACTCCGGTTGTGTCCCATCAAAAAAAAAAAGGAGCTCCTCGAAGCGGCCGATCTCTGAGCCAAGAGTTTGGCTCCCGCTTTGCTTTGCTACTCGTTGAAGATGGCGTTGAGCTGAGGCCCGGCCACGTGGTGAGGGTAGGACTCGTAGCTCATGTCTATGGGGATCTCATAGCGGGGCACTGCGTTTTGGAAGTGGGTGGGATGTCCGTGTGCCCCAGCCAGGCTGACCGAAGGGTAGTGAGCCATGAAGGCGTAGGGCTTATCCAGCTCTGGAGAGCCGTCCTGCTTCAAGGAGAAGTTCCCACTGATGCTCAGGGGCGGCGTGAGGGGACCCTCGTAAGGGGGAGTGGTGCAGTCGGGGGGGTTCCCAAAAGATGCATCCACCAGACTCTTGAAGGCGGGGGGCTTGAGGTGCAGCAGGTGGGTTTCCATCGAGCCGTAGGGTGGGCTGGGCAGCCCCGGGGATTGGTAGGCGAAGGAGTGGCTGGAAATGGCCGACTCGCACGCGGGGTTCTTCTCCTCGTGCTTCTCCAGGAATAAGGTCTGCGGCCCCAGCTGCAGGCAGCCGGCCACCAGGTTGCTGGTGGGCTGGGATAAACCTTTGCAGAGCATTTCCACGAAGCTTTTGCCTTCCGGAGTCTGCCCCGTTTCGAGCACCTCCGACAGAGCCCAGATGTAATTCCTGGCCAACCTCAACGTCTCGATCTTGGACAGCTTCTGGGTTTTGGAATAGCAGGGCATCACCCTCCTCAGGTTGTCCAGGGCATCGTTCAGTCCGTGCATCCGTGTGCGCTCCCGAGCGTTGGCTTTCACCCGCCGAGCCCTGAACCTCTCCAACCTGGCCTTGGTCATCTTCTTCTTCTTTGGTCCTCTTCTCTTCGGCTTCTCCCCATCATCCTCTTCCTCCTCTTCCTCCTCAATGCTGTCGTGCTCTTCGTTCAAGCCCGGCACCAACCCGAAAGGTCCTTGCCTGCCGTTCTCTGCCTTCAGCTCATCCTTGGAGCTCAGCGCATCGTCCATCCAGCCCTGGGTGCCCACCAGCTCTGCCATTTCCTTGGGCTTGGTGTACGCCTTCGTCATCTCTCAGCTCTGCAACGAGGGGACAGGAGATGTCAGCAGGAACACGGAGTCCATTAGGAACCAAAATCGCCCCCCTAGAGGCACCGACCGCCTTCTGTCCACCAGTGGTGCCTACAGCATCTGTCTGCCTGTCTCTACAATTACCTCCAGTGGGTTTTAGGCTGGGCTCACTGTCGCAGCACGGGGCACGCAGCCCCCCAAGTATGATTTTCCCTAAAAGGTTGAGTTCTGGACAACATGAAGGGGCCGTAAATCAGCTCTCCGTCTCCCATCCAACACGCTGCACCAAGGGAGGATTTTCCTAGGGGTTTTCTTAGCAACTCAACTTACCGGAGGTCATTTGGGGTTATTTGGGGTTACTTTCACCCCATGAGTTCGGCTGGCAGCCTGACCTCCCCATCTCCTCCGACCTGAGCACGTTTCATCAGCACATCCTTCACCTCTGCCCTTACAGCACAAAGCAGCAGCGGTTTCGCGTCCGTCAGCCCCGCGGATGCTGTCGCCGTGCCCGATTCATTTCATAAAGCTTAACATCTAAGCAGCTTTCGCTGAAAGCGCGCTGCCCAAACCCTGCCTCCGCCGCCCCATCGGCCCCACGTGGAAAATCCCACTTTTAATACGAGAGGTGGGGCTGGATTAAGGGTGTTAATGACTGCGCACGGCCGCCGTATCCCAGGAGGACCGTGCGGCCCCAATTAGCTCTCAGGTGGAGCAGGAGGATGGGAGACCATCGGATGCTTTGAAATCTGCTGTGGGGAGGTGCTGACGGAACATCAGGGATGGAGCTGCTCCTGCCTGAGTCCTGGTGACGCCGCCAGCAAAGCATTGGGGCTGGGAGCCCCAGCGCTGCTCTCTGCGCCCCTTTGCGGAAAGGGAACGGTTTCCAATTTGCAGTTTTGGAGACTTTGCTCTCCCTTTTATTCCTGCAGAATATTAATAATAATAATAATAACAAAGTAGACAAGGAGGGAATCGCCTGATGAAGTCGTTGTGGTTGCTACCCAGTTTTCCAATGAGAAGGAGGAGAACTGGGAGCCCACTGTGGGAAGGGAAGCCCTCCAGCCTGTTTTGTTTGGACACCTTTGGTTTTGGATGCCTCCATCCCATCTGATCCGAACCGAACACCGAACAAAACCCACTGCGGGAGCAAGCCTGTTCCAACTAAAACTCAACCTCCAGTTTGCAATGGCTCAAGCTCTCCTGCGTGCTCCTCGCTCTCTCACTGCGTTCTCAGCCACTGAGCTCCCAAAATAAGAGGGTTCCACTCCTATTCCATTGCTGCAGGACCAGGAATTGGATTTCAGCCCTTGCTTCCAAGAGTTCAGGACAAAGAACTGCAAAGCCCTTGGAGTGAAGACTCTGACCTCAAACTGGACCACTGAAAGCAGAAGAAACCCAAGGGGAAAAGGGTCCTGGGAGGATGCTGGTGTGAAAACCAGGCACAAAACTCATCACAGAGCAGGGCAGGAGGGACAAAACATCCACAGGAGGAGCACGAAAATTAGAATTGACTCGACAGCTCTGTGCTGCGTCCTGCCCAGGAACTCAGCAGGATTTGGTCCAGCTGTACACAAACACAGCGTGCAGAAAACTCAGCAGCTGCCATTGAGAGATGCTGCTCCTCCAGCCCCAGCGTGGCCATGGGATGGCCGTGGGGGCACTGATGTCACCGAGTGCAGGACCCAGGAGCTCCTGCAGCCCCAATCCCACTCTTGGTCTCAGTCTTGGTCCCAGTCCCCTTCTCAACCAAGCAAGGACACAGAAGAGGGGATGCGATGGATTTTGGAGGAGGGGAATCTGCTTAAGGGCATCCCCGGACCCCTGGAAAGGTGAGGGGAAGATGGGGGTGCTTTCATCCATTAAATTCAGCCTGGCCTCGGGATGCAGCACTGCAGGTGGGGATGGGGAGAGTTCGTGGGTCCCTATCCGAGAGCTGAGGAACAAAAGCTGTCGGCTGGGGCGCATCCCCATCACCTCCATCACCTCCAGCACGAGCATCGGCTCAGCCCCGACGTGATGGGGGAGCCGGGTCCATTGCCAGGCAGAACGGGGGGGGGGGGGGTCGCGATCCGGCTGTGGGACCTCAGCTGGGAGGCAGACGGACCGGGGGAGGGGGGACCAGCTGGGGCCGTGCACTCCGGGTGCTGCCTTGGGGCAGATAGAAGTAACCCCCCCGCCGTCCCGCCGTCGGGGATGCACGGAGCCGGGCGTGAAGCCCCCATCGGAGGGGTCGTGGTGCTCCCGGGGGTCGCGGTCCGCCCTTACCTGGGCACCGGAGCGATTTCCCCGCTGTCACTCGCTCATGGTGGCTGCAGCCTCGGGGGTGCGGACGGCACCGGCGGCTTCTCAGCTCCGCTCTCGGGGCGGTTTTGAGAGCTCCGCGTCGCCCGCGGCTCCTGCAGTGCCGCCGTTCCCCCTGACTCCTCCTCCGGGGGGAGGTGACCGATCCCGGCTCCTCCCGCTGCCCGACGGGGCCCCGACGGCAAATCACGGCTGGGTGCTCCGGGATGGGCACCCCGAGCGACCCCGGGTGGGTGAGCCTTGGATGGGGATGAGAATGGGTTCCTCAGGATGGACATCACAGGGTGGGAGCCTCCAGGTGAGCACCACGGGGTGAGGAGCCCCAGATGGGTACCCTCGGATGGGCACCCCTCGGTTGGAACCCGTGGATGGACACCTCCAGGTGGGTAACCCAAGGTGAGCATCCTCAGATGAGCACCTGCTGGATGGGGCACCTCCTGGCTGAGCTCCTTTGGATGAGTGACCCTGAATGGACACCTCCAGATGGGCGCTATGGGGTAAATATCCCCATACGAACAGCCCCAGATCAGCACCTCTGGAAAGACACCTTTTGATGGGTACCCCGAGATGAACAGCCTCAGATGAACGGCACCAGATGGGCACTGTGGGACGGGCACCCCCAAACAAGAACCCTGGGGTGAGCCACCCCAGCTGAGCACCTTTGGATGGGCACCACTGGATGAGCAGCCCCAGATGGGCACCCCTGGGTGGGCACCCCTAAATGGGCACCCCTAGATGGGTACCCCCAGATGGGCATCCCTAAATGGGTACCCCTCTATGGGCACCCCTAGATGGGTACCCCTCTATGGGCACTCTCAAATGGGTACCCCCACTATGAGTACCCCTCTATGGGCACCCCCGGATGGGCAACCCTATATGGGTACCCCCAGATGGACACCCCTGGACGGGTACCCCTGGGTGGGCACCCTCAAATGGGTACCCCCACTATGAGTACCCCTCTGTGGGCACCCCCGGATGGGCAACCCTATATGGGTACCCCCAGATGGGCACCCGTAGACGGGTACCCCTGGGTGGGCACCCTCAAATGGGTACCCCGACTATGAGTACCCCTCTGTGGGCCCCCCCAGATGGGCAACCCTCTATGGGCACCCCCGGATGGGCAACCCTATATGGGTACCCCCAGATGGGCACCCCTGGATGGGCACCCCTGGGTGGGCACCCTCAAATGGGTACCCCCACATGAGTACCCCTCTATGGGCACCCCCAGATGGACACCCCCAGATGGACACCCCTCTACGAGTACCCCTGGGTGGGAACCCCTAAATGGGTACCCCCACATGTGTACCCCTCTATGGGCACCCCCAGATGGACACCCCTCTACGAGTACCCCTGGATGGGCAGCCTCAAATGGGTGCCCCACTGTGGGTACCCCTGGAAGGGCACCACTGGACATCCTTCCCAATTTCCCAGCACCAGGACAGTCCTCTCTCCACGGAGAGGCTCCCATCCAACAGAGCACAGCCCTGGGTGCTGCTGGCTCTGCCCCAGGTGCTCGGGATGGGGCACGGCGGCTGCGTCTCCCCTCCTGGTTGTAATGAGAGTGCAAGGGGGAGTAATTAATTGCTGGTGTGGCCAGAAGGGGCCCGTCTGAGATTACTGCTGTCAGAAAAGAGAAGGGGCCCAGGGCTCCTGCCTCCAGGTCTGGCTCTGGGCAGTGGGAGGGGGCAACGGAGGAAAAAGTAGAATAGATTAATTAAGGAGGAGAGAGATGGGGAGCCTTGCATGGAGCAGAGCAGGGCTGGCCCCAGTCTCTGCGTGGGACAGATGCTGCCTTCTCCAGCCTCAGTTTGCCTCCTTCCCAGTGCTCCCCAGTACAAAGCACAGCTACTGGTTTCCTTATTCATCCCCTGATTGCTGAACCTATCACTCACCTCCTCTGCCCAGAGGGATGCAGACACCCAGGTAAGAGGCTGAGCTCCTGCAACGAGGGTGAAAGGAGGAACTGCAGTGGCACCCCAAATCCACCCTCTATCCCCATGCCCACCATCCCCATCCCCATTCCATCCCATTCCCTATCCATCCCATCCCATCCTATTTCATCCCATCCGATTCCATCCTATCCCATCCCCATCCCCATCCCATCCCATCTCCATCCCCATCCCATCCTATTTCATCCCATCCCATTCCATCCCATCCCATTCCACCCTCTCCCATCTCCATTCCCATCCCATCCCCATTCCATTCCCCCATATCCCATCCCCATCCTATTTCATCCCATCCCATTCCCCCATATCCCATCCCCATCCCCACCCCACCCCATCCCATCCCATCCCATTGCATCCCATTGCATCCCATTCCATCCCATTCCCCCATTTCCCATCCCCATCCCCATCCCATCCCCATCCCCATCCCATCCCATTCCCCCATATCCCATCCCATCCCCATCCCCATCCCATCCCATTCCCCCATTTCCCATCTCCATCCCCATCCCATCTCATCCCCACCCCTGCTGACCAGCACTACATGGGGCTCTCCCAGCACACGCCGCCATGGAGGACCCTTCACACTCATTTAGAGCCCTCACAAGCACATCCTTGGCAGCCCGGAATTACGGGGAATACTAATTAATTCATTAGTGGCTTCATGGCTTACTTCCCAGCGCCGGGCCGGGCCGGTCAGGGCGTTGGGGGGGGGGGGAAACAGATTGCAGCCAATAAATCTGCCTGTTGCCACACCGT